TAAATATCACGCCATAATTACCTATTATTGTTTTTACCAATTATTGCAGATATGATATATACTAGCGGATAGGATTACTTCTTCATTAAATCTGCCTGATGAGTGCTTAACGCACGAAACTCAGAGTTGCAGCGAATCATGTTTGTTTACTTCTAGTCACTTAATGTTATACCGCTCTACACAAATGTGTATTGAGCCCTTTTAGCAGTGCTGGCTACAATTTACAATTAGTTATATTTTTTATAATTATTTTTAGGGTTGAGTCTGACGATGACGACTCTGAAACATTTGTGAACAGTTCTCAATCCCAAGATCACAGTGAAACTGCGTCTTTTTATCTTGGTGATAAACACATACCGGTTTATGCCTCAGAGATGAAGGAGTTGTCAAACAGCGACATTGCACGGCTATTACTAGATCCTCCTGAAGATAAAGTCGCTTCGAAACCACCCGTAAAGTGTCAAGAAAACAAAATTTTCATCATTGATAAAAAGTCGCCGTATTTTCGAAACCCAGACGACTGGAAAGCAGATGGCCTTGGAGTCTACAAAAACGATGGAACTCATGTTGTTGCGTATTACGAGGACAAGAATCCGGAAATCCGCTGGATATCCAAAACAAAACCAGAAGATTGCAAACGCTCCACAGTTCTTCTCAAGAGAACGTACTGGACGCACGTACAACATCCTGATTTCCGCAGAAGAGCTTATGAAATACTCAGATATAGTGGGCACAGCTTTACGCCCGAGCGATTCGTACTTTTACAGTACAGTTTCAGCGGAAAACCACATGCGATCACGACCAAACCACACGGCAATTCTAAGTCCGAGAAAGCTTTTACTCGCACCAAACCTGGAGTTTTGGAGAGCATCAAGGGAAAGGTGAAAGGTTCTGCTCCTCCGTCCAAAGTGTATGACGAAGTGTTTGAAGAGGCTGGGGGCCTACTCAAGGTTTGCAGTGTCTCAGATGTTCCCAGAAATAGAAAGCAAGTGGAGAACGCAAAATATAAGGGAAGGGAAGTTCGAAGTCAAGACGAGTTATACGACCTAACCCTCAAATCAAAAGAAGAGGAGGAAACGGGAAAAGTTTATATTCGACGCCTGCAAGTTGCACCTAGTCCGGCATGCGTTTTGGCTTCTGATCGGCAAGTTCAGGATGTTAAGCGGTTTTGTGCCAATACAACTGAACAATTTTCAGTGCTCTCCATCGACACAACTTTCAACATTGGCGACTTCTATGTGACACCTACAACCTATAGGCATCTGCTGCTGGACGACAGGAGAACTGAAAACCCCCCTCTTTTACTTGGGCCAACACTAATACACACGAGAAAGGACAGCGACACTTTCAGCTACTTTGGAGCCACACTTACAGGACTTGAAAACGGCACTAGAAACATACGATTTATAGGGTCAGACCGAGAAGATGCCGTTGAGAAGGGAATGAGTCCTTATCTTCCTGTTGCAACATGGCTTGCTTGCAAACGTCACGTGGTAGAGGACTGTAAAAGGAAGCTTCGCTCGTTAGGAATCTCATCAGAGTACCTTACAGCTTTTCTACGTGACATATTTGGGTGTGATGCCAACCATGAAAAAGGGCTCATCGATTCCGAAGGATGCATGGACTTTGATGCTAAACTTGAGAGTTTGGAAAACGTGTGGAATTCAAGAGAAAAAACATCAAGGGGTACAGCACTCTCCGATTCAAGCGAAGCAGAATTCCATAAGTACTTTGTCGCACACGTTGCGGAAGACATGAAGAAGAAGATGATTTCCCCCGTTAGAAAACGTGCTGGCCTGGGGGAAGCCTTTTTTTACAACAACGCAGCAGAGTCCAAACATCAGCGGATAAAAGCACGAAAAGGGCAGATGTACGGGGAAAGAAAACTCGCCTGGACTGAAGTAGTTGACTTGCTAAAATCTATTTCTGAAGAGGAGGAAAGGAATTGCGAAAGGGCTATTGTGGATGAGGGTCCTTTCAAGATAAGGCAGCAATACAGTTCCAAGCTTCATGTTCCCTTCTCCACCTACATCGGGAAGTCGCACGCCCAAAAGGAGAAGGTTAATAGGAGAGTTCATGAAATTTCAATGGAGGCATTTTTACAACTGGAAGAAGGCTCGATCAATAATGCAAAGGCTAAGAACAAGAATCTGACCAAATGCGCTTACAAGAACATGCCAAAGTCAGTCGGTGGGAAACCTGGAGAAGCCGAACGGAAAAGAAAACGTAATCCCCAGTCCGAGCGTTCAACTAGCAAATACACAGAAAGAGTTCCTACCCCTCCGAAACCAACACTTAACAGCAATACCTTCAAAGTTAAATGGCTCAAGAACTCGAGAGTTTACAGATGTTATGGGTGTCGGCAAAATATCCGTCCTAAACCCCAGAAAGGCGAAACGGAAGTTGTTCCTCCACCACCTTGGGACTTAGTTCTTGCACGACTGGAACTCCGGCTAATCTCTAATGGTGCTGGCGAGCTGAAGATGTCCATCAAGCCGGAACCAGTGCATTATCACCCAAAATTGTCCTGCATTCGCAACGCCCACGGCAAAAAGTATTATCCGTCGGTGGAAGTAACGGATGCTGACAAGAAGTTGATGGATGATATTCATCTTCGGCATTTACGAAGCGAGTTCGGTCTATGAACAGTCTGCGCAATCGTGGCTACGAGGCCATAATTACCGTATTTTCTCGAATAAGCGCTCACCCCCAACGCCTTCAGACTCAACTACAGCACAATCAGCGCAGGTTAATAATCTCCTATTAAGTGCCCCCCTCGATTAAGTTCTCTCCTTGTAAGAGCCCCTTCTTTTAGCCAAAAATTTAGATGAGCGCTCGGGTGCTTATTCGAGGAAATGCAGTACTTTTCAAGCCCGCTCGGCTCAGTTTGGTTTTTAATGATAGAAAAGTAATAGTATTTCAAATGTTTTTATGTAAGCAATTGTAGCAAAAGTTTTCGCTTGAGTCAACCATTGTTTATGTTTTAAGACGAAACCTGTGTGAACATGATTCGTAGACAGGTCCCGTTAATGTTAGTTATTGCTGAAATTATTTCCAGTTTTTTTAAATCAACATCATTCTCACTTTTAAATTAAGCAACCGTGTGGCATATTTTGTCTAAAAATTCACTCATTATTATTATTAGGGTTAGTTGGTGAAACCTGTGTTAAGATGACTGACATTGACAGGTCCCGTTAATATTAGATAATGGTATTCCTCGTTGATTTAAGCTCGATATATTTTCACTGATAATGTCGGAGTTTTAGTTAAGATTGCGTTAACAAGAAGTAAGTCAACGCTTGTGATTGCATCACTGCATGTGGACAACGTCAAACCCTTACAGGCCTAATGTCAATTTTACTCAAAAAAGAGAGGTTGACAAATTAGTAATGGACATCCACAGCATGATATTAAACATTATTACGAGCAAAGATATTTTTTCCGGTATCGACTTAATATCCGCGGAAGTTATCCTCCTAAGGGGAAATTAGTGTGGGTACACTTGATTTTCATTTGGCTCTCTTGATCCTTTGGCCTTGCCTATAATTCCGTCTTTTAGGCTCTGGGGTAATTTTCCGCCATGCCGTCTTTTAGGAGTTGCTGCTAGCAAATGACTGGAAAAAATGGGGTCAAATCCAAGGGAAATTGGGTCGCCGGGTTAGAGTTAGCGGGGTTCTAGTGACAGGATCTATTCTCACCATGCAAATTAGAAGAATTAGTGAAATAGCCCCTTTTTTGTTTAGAAAGTTTATTTCTTCCGCTGATATGTAAGCCGTAAATTTCACAGAAGGATGGTAGTGTTTTGGACACCTGGTCGCGAAGAAATTCTTCAAATTCTTCTTGACGGCTTCCTTCTGCTAACTTTCTTTTGTCTTTTCACGCCATGAGAAATTCCCACGCGCGTGACACACTGCAAACCTCGCTTCAACTAGTGTTACTCAAGTCCCAAAACTTAGTCGTGGATGAAAAGACGCTCGTATTGAAGGGCTCGTAACGAGGGCTTGCTCTCACGCTAGTCTAAGTTTGGAGCTAGGGCTGAACGTTGTCATATTTTGAGAAGCCTGAAAACGTTCCTGTGATGTTCTCACATTTACAAGCATATGAGATATTATTGTTTCAATAAATCAATTGTCTGCACACCAGGAAACGT